AACACTGGAGCTGGAGCCTATCCTGGCACAGCCACAAGGCAGGAAACACCCTGGATGGGACACCAGTCCATCACAGGGCACACACAGACACAAACACACATACGGCACAGATTCACACAAGGGCCAGTTTTCCCAGAAGCCAATTAACCTACTGTATCAGTATGCCTTTGGACCATGGGAGGAAATCAGAGCACCCAGAGGAAACCCACACAAGCATGGTGAGAACATGCAAACTCCATGCAGATAACACTCCAGGTCTGGAATTGAACCCAGGGCTTCAGCATTGCAAAGCAGCTTCTGGAAAACTGTATGCCCATTCATTTTATATTCATTCGAATCCTACTCCCCAACCCATGTTTCAGTTATTCCTATAATGTCGTAGTTACATGTTATTACAGCAGTCTCAGGTTCTTGCATTTTATATGTTATTGAGCCGTATTGAAGTATAAACATTAAAGAATGGATATTTCTTTTATAGTTTAAAAATACAGCCCCATGTCTGATTTTTCAAGGTGTTTCTTTTGAGTTTCCCAGCTGTGCAAACATAAAAAAAAATGTGTAAAAGGTCTGAAAAATCATAAAAGAAACTTTCAAAGGAAAAACATTCACACAAGTTTCATATTAGAAGTAGAAGTAATTTTCAGACTGATGACGAGTGAGTTACTTTGTTGGCTCAGGAGTTCATTTACAGTCTACTTCTGTGTATTCATCTATCACTATGCTAAGTATGTGTGGTACCATTTTGGTGTGATGAAGCATATATTAGGAATGTTTCTTTTTTCTTCCAGGAATATTTCACATCCATTCCACTGTATTTTTACAAAGTCTGCTAGACATAAATGTTCTGAATTCCAATTAAAAAAACTTGAGTCCTTTTCTGCAAAGTTAACTTCATTTAATTGTTTTTTTTAATTAAAGTGGTGACTAACTTACAGAAAAAGTAAGAAATCACAGAAAATAATAATACAGCAATATAATTTTTTTTTACTGAAGTTACATTTACTTTGCAGTGATAATGACAAAAAACACCTCTTCAAAGTGTTGCGAAATGAGTTTTGTCAGGAAAAGTTCTAGAAGAATTTTTCCTCATGACAAATTAAGACAAGAAGCAGTAAGTGATGGGAGAAGAACTGTCCTATTTCCATATTCCACAATCTAAAAAAAGCAGAGGGAAAGTTTTGGCAGGCAACTTAGAACTGTCAGCACTCGTACTGTAGGTGAATTAACTCAGTGTGAAGCTGGCAGTTTGATCTGCACTTGTAAGTTCAGTCGTTGAATTCGGGGAAGAATCTAAAATATTAATTATCCTGAAAGTCCCTTCAATGGAAAACCTGTCTGAGAATATCTCGTTTTAAGTACCGCTGTTTTTAATGTGCCTGCCCCTTGGCAGTACCAGCGGAAAACCAATACAGACATCACTTACTGCTCCTTGCAAAGTATTCAGACCCTTCCTTTGGCGGCCCCGTTTGTGAAATTATAAATATGATTAACTTCTTTTTTTCAAGTTAGCATTTTACTCAAAACATCAAATTCTTAAACTGAAGACTTTTAAGGCCAAGGTAAGTTCCAGTGAATGTCAGGAAAATTTAATCTTTTTGAGGTAAATCTCTACCAACTTTTCACACTGTTTTAGTGCGATTTTTGACCATTATTCTTGGCAGAAGAGCTCAAGCTCTTTCAGCTTGCTTTAGAATTGCTTATGGACAAGGGTTTTCAAGTCTTTGTACAAATTCTCATGTCCGGATTTTGACTTTGCCACTAAAGGACATTCACCTTCTTATTCTACAATCTAGTGTAGCTTTGAACTTGTGCTCTAGGCCATTCTTATACTGAAAGGTCACTTTTCATCCTGTTTGGGTCTTTTTAACATACTAAAGCAGATTTTCCTCTAGTATTTGCCTTTAATTTGCTCCACCTACTTTCCAGTCAGCTTGCCACTCCCTGCTGGTGAGAAGCAGAACTATAACATAAAGCTGCCCCTCACCATGTTTGACAGTAGTGATGGCGCTGACTGTGTGATGTGTTCTTTGCATTAGTTGCACTAGTGTGACTGTATTGCCATTTGCATTTTGTATTTATACCAAAAGTTTCCTATTTTTTCTTGTAGGATTTGAGATTTGTTTTTTTAGTATAAGGTTCATTCTTGCCACTCTGCCATACAGACCATTGTGACTCATAAACATTTTCCCCATCTCAGCAATTGAGCTCTGTAACTGGTGCTACAGAGCAGCCTGTGTATTAACACGCGTCTCACAGCATCATTCCTAACTAGTTTTCAGCTGTTGGCCTCATAGCAGAATCCCTGACCATTTTTCTCCCTGCTTGGCTGCTTAGTTTGGAGAGGCAGCTTAATGTAGGAAGTGACTGACTATGGGCATCTCAGTTCCAAATGAGTGTCTCCATTGTGCTCGAAGGTATATCCAATGTTTTTTAAACTTTGCATACAATTCTTTTGGTATGTTCCTTTCTGCAAGTTTATTCCCAAGTTGTTTTGAAACGTCTTAGGTTTCATGGTTGAATTTTTTCGAAATTCACTACCTAACTTAAGGACCTCAGAGAGAGCTTTTATTGAAGATCAAGATGAAAAACAAGCCAAGATAAAGCCTACAAAACGGATTAAAAATGCAGCATACAAAAAATAGAAAACAGTGTATCTATGAAGTGGCATGTGGAATGGCTTTTAAAAAAAATTTAGGGAGATTTTTACCAAAAGGGTTGTGGGAGTATTAAACAAACTCCACAGCCATAATGTTGAAGCTGACACTCTGGGTTATTACAGGAAACAGCTGGATGAGATCCTTGGATCAATTATGTATTCATTACCAGGTGGGTTAGATGGGCTGCACTCCTTTGTTTGTGATTTGTTTTATGTTCTTATGTAACTTTAAAACATTTCAGTGAACTGTGTATATTTGTTTTCAGTGATTCCAGTAAATACTGGTTTACCTGCTCTACAGCCATCAGCCATAATCAATACACAGACCAGACATATATATGGAGATATTCAGATGTTTGTCAGTGTGGCTCTCATCACACTGAGGCTTTGATTAACAGAGTAGTAATGACTAACCCAGAGCAGATGTATGTGTCTTTCCAGTTCAGGGAGCAGACACAGTATTTGCTTTTGCACCACTGTTCCATCTGTTGTATTTGTTTTGCTTGCTGGCATTGAAAAAAAATATTTTCGATAATACCTATCCGTGGCAAGTGGTTTCTGTCATTAACAAATCCTGTGCTCAAGGTTGAAGATAGGCGATTTACAGAAAATGATTGAAAAGATGATTTATTTACAGTACAAGTATGTAATCTCAATAAGTACATGGAACATTGGATTATCTCAGTATCTATTTTTGTCTCTCTTGTGTTGTAGTGATCTCTTCATATTTGACTAGTGTCACTTCATATATCTTCCATTCTTTCAGTTTACAGTATAAGCCCATCTGGTATTTGCTATATTACAGGTCTACTGTTTTGAGATGTTTATAATTTCCACTATCAGTGTTTCTTTCACTTTTAACTTTGTCTTGAAGTGTGATAACACTACTTTCAAAACATTCTGCTTAAGCAGAAAGTGTGCTGTCATTTTTCTTCAGAAGTTAAGAGGGGTTAAAATCAAGAGCCTGCCATTTTAGGCTGTCCGTGTTTGGTTGCCAGGAGCTAACTGATCAGAGGGTCTGATCTACTGTACATGTTTCTTGAAAGAAGATATTGGCTTCAACAGCAGGGCTGGGTAGCTTCTTCTAGACCACCTCAATGTTTTGTCTTAAAAGTGACTTTCCTATAGTTTCCATTTGTGTCATTTGGTTTATTTGTCACTGTTGATTTAGGATAAGTCCATTGTATCTATGAATGTATCTGGTCACTATTACCTGAACTGATACTAGAGTAGCAGCTAGTAGTAGTTTTTTGGTACTGTGGTGACTAGTTTTACTCCTTATTTTAGGTGCGGTCTTAGTACAAAAACATTCTTAATACTCATGTCACTTAATTGGTGTATGTAAATTGTCCCTGTTTGTGTTTCCTGCATTTGACTGGTATACCATTCGAGGCACAGTCCTTATCTAAACCCTATGTCTGTTGGGTTAGGCTCTGGTTTACCACAACCCTATTTAGGATGAAGCTTGTAGATCAGTACATGTGTTCCTTTTAGTAGATGTACTAACAAACTAAGAACCATTTTCATTTTTAGCTGCTGAAGTCCCAAATCTTTTCCCAGTCTATGTGAGAAATAATCCCTTATTTACACATATAGTGTGTTCCTGATCGTATTGTACAATACTACATTATAATTGTAATCCGAATTTTGTGATCTGTACCATTTTCCTAATGCTATGTCTTTAGAATGTTTTATGTATCTGATGCATAAAGATTCTGAGACTCCTGATGCAAGCAGATCACATTCCTGTGCCTGAACGTTCGTTTTGATATAAAATGCTAAACCTCCACCTCCTCCATCCTCCTTGTCACTTCAGAAGCTTGCATATCCACTAATGTTCTATTCATCACCACAACTCTCTGTTAGCCATGTTTCAGTGAGTCCAATTACGTCGTAATCGCCTCCTAATGCAGTAGTTTCTGCCTGCTGCATTTTGTTCCTAATACTGTAATTCTGGAATTTAGGTATGAGAGCTTAAATACCTTGTCTATGTATGGGTTTTGTAGAGTCTATAACCTTGCAGATTGACTTAGGATTGTCTTTCCTTGAAACCAATTTTAACTGCTTCTTCAGTAGATCCTTGCTCCTAACCGACTGCTGCCTGTCTCATTCAAAAGTGTGAACAGATCCTCAGATCTGTTTCCAGTGGCTCTCCTCAGATCACCATGCATGGCCGTGTGTTCTGTTCACAGATGAACGCTTGCAGCTGTTCGCTCTTGCGCGGAGCAGGCAGGGTCCTTGAGAAGACCGTTGTTTTGGGGTGTGGCTCCACACGTTACACAGTCAGGCGGCGGTGGGGGCGTGACGCTCCAGTTTGCGCTCATTCCTCGTCTTGCTTTTGCAGCGTCTGAGGCGGAGTCTCCCCCCTGGCCTGTTGAGGCGGATCTCTTCCACATGGACCACCACCACCTCTGCCACTGGTCTCCCCACCATTGAGCCCGGCCCTGTCAGGCGGGACCGCAGCGCCAGCATCAAACCCGTCCACGAGACCCCCTCCTGCAGGTAACACGCTGGCTTCGCCCGACACCCTTGTCTCCTCGGGGAGACCCCCCCAGGCTCAGCCTCTCTCTGAACCTCTCCCCCTGTGCTGCCGTTGGCCCCTACTTTTCAGATTCTTCCTCTGCAGCCTTGGCATCCGCTTTGATGTTCTCTTTCTTCCCCTGTGAGAAGCCCTGTGACACCTTGCCTAAATTCAAGAAGTGCAGAAGGAATTTTCATTTGCAGAGGCCAAAGGGCTCTGTTTTATTTAACATCGTGCAAATCGTGTGGCCTTCAAAGGAATACTTAATGCCCCTCTCATTTCAGATTGTGGAGAATTCCAGTTTTGTGCATGATGTCTTGTGCTTCTTTTATTGGGATGCTTTATTTATTCCTTTCTGCTGGTAAAGGAACAGCAATGGAGTGTGCAATGGGAATGATTACTGTAGATGAACAGGGAAATCATAATGAGAACAATAAGAAGGAGCTGTAAATTCCATATTGGGACTAAGTGATGATATACACTAAGAGTAAAATTCATGCTGTGTTTTTTGGGGGATAGCAGCTATATTTTTAATGATTAGGTTTTGAAGCTTCCTGCCTACCTTATCTTAGTGCTTTTCATATTATAATGTCATTCAAGTACCAAACAAAGCTGGCATAGCATAATTATGAGTAATAATGTACTGTACGGTTAAGCTACGGTTCATAATCATATCACATAATGTGTAATTATACAATATGCTAATATGTTCTTTGTAATTAATAACAATTATATGGCTATTATTATGTTAATACTATGTTATGTTGTATGACTGACTGTTAAGATGGTAAAAGCCTGTACAAAAAAAAACTGGTAAGGAAGATATAGAATAGATATAACCATCACAGAGGGTCTTAATTTCCAAAAAGTGAGCTTCCTTTCCGAGATAATGGAACGGGTGTTTGGAAATCAAAGGCCGAAAAGCAGTGACCCAGATAGTTAAATAAATCGATTAAGTATAATCTTAGGAGGAAGAGAGTACTTTATACAATAATTTAGAAAGAAAATGAAGCTGTTAAAGAGTACAACAAATTGCAAGCCAGCAGCAAAAGGATATTAGAAAGGCCAAGAGAGAGATTGAGTATTGAAATGGAGGGTAAAACTAATTCAAAGACCAATTGATCGTATTCTGGGGTTCTTGCCACTCCAAACAAATTCAGAACATAGTAAGATTTGAAAGTAATTTAGAAAGGAAGTGACAGTGGTAGCATAGCAGACAGAAAGTTAGTCTACTGTAAAACATTCACTGATATTCTACCATGCAGAGTGATGTGATTCACAGAATTTAGATGTGAAATGGCAACTATGTACTCAAATGCTATCAAATTATTTTTTAAATCTTCAGCAGTGTGTAATAGCTAATTATTTGACTGTGTCAGCAGAGGAAAAATAGAAGAAGCAAGGGAGATGTCTGTAACAGTTCACTTCAAAGGAAAGAAAACCTGACTTAGCCCAGTTAATTTTGTAACCAGAGAAAGATCCAGAAAGCTCAAAGAGCTTTAATGTATTCAGAAGAGACATTGTCAGCATTCAGGGTGATTTAATCTCAATCTCAATCTCAATGGGTATATATGTATGCTTTTCCTAATAGCTTGTGCAAAGGGATGCAATGAACAGGCAAAACACAGGGTGCTGAGAGGGGCTGTATTTAGATTTTCTAAAAACTTGTGATAGCATTCCTCATAAAATACATAAAGGATTAATTCCTACATTACATGTGGGAAGTGTTCAGAGTAATTGGATTAAATGTTCAAGGTTTTTGGATTAAATACTGGATAATGCATAAGAAGCCAACAGTACAGATAAGGAGTAATGGTTCAGATTGGGGTGATGGAATTAGTGGAGCACGACAGGGATCTGTATTAGGACTATATTAGGATACCAAAATAGCAGGATTAGCAAACACTGTAGAACAAAGGGAATTTGAAAATATTTAGATTGAATTCATCACTGGGCAAACCCCTGGCAGGTGATGTTTCTTGTTGGCAAGTACAGAGTTCTATACAGTATGGACTGTAAGTAAAACAAATAACATAAATATTAACCACAGAGAGAAGATGAACAAACAGAACGAACTTCAAAAAGCTATTGTAACATTCTAGGAAATTTAGGTTTCCAATTAAAAAGGCAAGCACATTTAGGATGTACAGTTAAAAAGATACACTGTAATTTAAATTGAAAAATTTAATGTTGAATTTGTGTATTGCACTACAACGTAATTTAGAATACTGTGTAAAAGTGTGGTCTCTATCTTGCAAAAAATACATACAGATTACTGCTCTGGAATCAGTCTACACGACAGTGACCACATTCATCCCTTGACATTAAGGAATGTCCTACTCAGACAGACTAAAAGAGCAGAATCTGTTTTTATTTGGAACACTGCAAGGAGACCTGGCTAAAATATTTCAAACCCTTAAAGGCATTGACAAAGCCAACCCATTGACATCTTTTAGAATCAGGAGTGAAACATGAGTACCCAAATAGATCAAATAAACAAGCACATTTAAAACTGAGGACAGGAGCCATTCATTACTAAAAGAGCTGCACATCTCTGGAACAACCTATTCAACCACGTTGTTTATGCTGATACCCTTGTTTCTTCCAAGAAGTGGTTTGATGATCTTCGCTAATCACAACCAATTAAGTTGCGTTGGTGAAACAGGGTAAAATTGAGAGGAGGCTTATTTTAATGATCTTATTGAGCAATAATATTTATATGTGCATGATCAGTGCATTTCTTCCACACTATCCCACGTGTAGTTAAGAATCAGATACTGTATATTTTGGCGTAACCTGTTTACAGAAATCAAATGTATGTTGTGATGGTCTCACATACTGTGTACTGTAGGTCTGACTATCTGGTTAACTGAACAATGTAGGTGAAAGTGCATTATCAGCTGTATTAAGATTTCTCCTCTTTTTCATTAATGTAACACATTTTTGAAGTGTAATGATGCCTTTATGGAATGCAAGAATGGCTTACAAACAGTCAAGGAATTTATAACGGAACTGTTTTTTTTTTCAGCTGTCACTTTGAGAGTGATTAATATACTTTTTTACAAGCTTTCTCAGTAAAGGCCTGCTTATAATGTAATGACCATGAGGTCTAATTGCATGTTGCAGCTTATACCCAGAGATTCTCAAGAGCAATACACTTTTATGTACTGAGATAAGTAAGGTAATGAAATCACCCATTTGGAAAAAAATTGAACACTTCCTCTGTATCCAATATGAGAGTTACTCCATGCTGTAATCTAGAATAAGAGCTTTTGCCAAAGTGGGAAACAGAAGAGAATGGCCATTTTAGAGCAATTGTGCTTAAGTGTAGAATGGGTCATGGGAAATGAGGAGAGAGTAATGAGATCCTCAAGATAAGGTGAAGTAAAACAGCTGAAATGTCAAGCTGAAGTTAATGTCCCAGAGAGAGACCAGGATTCTGCCAAAATTACACAGAAAAGTTATTATCTCATGTCAGTGTATATTTTAAACATGTGAGTTTCTGCTCTCTTGTACTGTATTTATAATATATAATGGAAACAATGCTAAAATATCAACAGTTTGCTTTGTGAACATTTTTCATACCTTACACTAGTGGTTTCCCAGTCATAGTCGTGGGTTACTGATGTGTCTGCAGGTTTTATAGGTCTTTAAAAAACCTGTAAACACAGCGTCCCTCCAGGACCATGACTGATCCATGAAGGGATTTGCCACTTTTCTAGATCAAATAATCCCCATCAAGTTGGTTCTTGAAAGATCTCTGTGAATGAGCATACACAAGCGTAATAATCTGCAATAATCTGTTTCACGTTCCTGTCTCACTTAGTGTAAGGAAGCTTCTTCATCTCCACTTGAAACTACTGCTACTACTGCCTCTGCTTAATTCAGCTTGTTAAGCTGCTGAGCATGGTTTGTCTTAGTTGTTTGCCTTCAGGATGAAACTTCCATTGTGTTATTTTGTACTAACCTGATTTGAAACGTAAGAGGTCAATTAATTGAAATTTTGCATTGATTTGTGGTTTATTCAGGTGCCTGTAGTCTTATTTCTGTTTAGCAAAGAGGAATGACAAACAGAACACAGTATGTTTCAGCTAATGATGAATGACATTTTTGATTATCCTTTTTAAGTGTATTTTATTGTTGTCTAACTTATACATGATTCTCCAATTTAATATTATTTTCTGAGTAATCTATGCCTAAATACACAAATCAGAGATACAGTAGCATATCAATTATTAAAGTATATACTGTATCTCATAAATTGCAATAGAGTTTTGTGAAGTGCTTTTCCAATCCAGCTCAGAGGACTGTGCCAGAGGTATTGTTTGTCCTTATTGTGAAGCTGAATTATGTGCTAAATAATTGATTAGACGTACAAAAGCATCTTAAATGTCTGTTCAGGGTTAAAAAGCAAGCACAGATCTTCTTTTCCCACTCTGATTTCTTGACATTAACGTGAGTGTCCTTTTTGGCTTTAGTTACTTTGCTCTGTAAATAGAAATACTTGCTGGCCTGTTAAACTAATGTAAACTTCCTCATGTTGACCCAGCTTTGAATTCAGCGTCAGTAGTGGTTTTGAACAGGAATGTGCCCTCATAGAATACTGGCTGATTAATCCTTAAAAATTTAAAAGAATTTGCTCTTCTTTGGAATTGCGACTGCATTAGGGATTGTGGCTGGGAAAAGGGGGGTGTTCTTTGTTGGGGCAGGAGCATAGTCTCCAGTCAAGCAAGTGGGGTTTTCTGCTGTGCTTTGTGTCTGTCTGAAACCATTTTTAGTTATTTTATTCATTTGAGCTAGTACTTCGATTTGCTTAGCCTCTAATCGTTTTTCGGAGCACAGCTCAGCTTGAGCTTCACATTTCTGATCTCACTGTAAAACTAAGAAAGGCAACAGTCAGCAAAACTGTTTTTTTGCTCCAGTGCCTGTCTTGGCTAGCTTTCTGTACACCCCAAATAAATGTAGCATGTTTTTTTTATTTATTTATGTTTCATTGAAAAAAAACTGTTTTCAATTCTGAAAAGAGAATTAAAGGAACACAATGTTTCACCTGTGGAGCCTTCTTCCAGTGTGACACACGAGGAAGGCTCCACAGCCAAAACGTTTTTATCTTTCTTGTATTTTCAGCATGGAATAAACCTTTTACTTGTTCCTTTGCATGCTGACCCAGCTACCTACTTGAACTACTATCTGCTTTCAATTGTCTGTTAACTGATTTGAAGCTGTTATTCTTGGTTTGAGAAAATGGGGAGCAAATCTTACTTTGCAACATATTTTAAAATAACTACAATAAGAATACAGGACCAAAATGTTAGAAAACATGTAACTTAGCTCCAGGATTTTTAGAAGGACTTGTTGCCCAGTAATGTACTGTATTGTGGGTTTGCAGACAGACTCACGTCTCATCCACTCATCAGTTTGGGATTTATGTCAGAGTTTATTCATTTTCCATTACACCTACAGTAGGTTGTCACAGTAATGCCAATCATGTTAATGACCTGGCCAATTTTATTCTTATTGCCAAAAATGTCTCAGCAGGAGCTGATGTTTAGTTGTTAGAATTGTAGAATAAATAAGCCAGCTCGATTCTTCATCAAAAGAAGATTTCTAATCAGGTGTGGGATAAACACAGGACGTCAAAGCTCACTCCTCTGGCAGGAAAAAGTAATCAATGTGCAAGCTGGGTGGTTGTGTTCATCTTTCTTCATCATGGCCTTCAGAGCTCTTCAGTCATGTCTTCAGTGCCCAATACATGTTTCTTCCATCTTCCCCAGTATTGTAGTAGATGGACTGATGCTTGAGGTTACCTATGAAATGATGTACTGGTAAGTCCTCAGGCCCATATGTCCCATCAGTACGTGCATTCAGTTATACTGTACCTAATGCCCTGTTCAAAGCAGAAGACAGACAGGACTCTATTTACAAATGCAGTATCCCTTTCACTCCCTCAATTTCTCACACAGAACACAAGTAGCTAAGATGAAAAAGAATTGGCTGTTTCACAAAGAATGACAAACACCCAAGAATAAAGCGTCATGGAGCACATTTGTGGCTTAACCCGCTGTGCTGAGGGCTGACCCCCGTGCAGGGTGACCAAGGGGCAGCTGCAGAGTGGGAGATGGGGTGGAGGTGTGATGCAAGAGACGTGCAAGAGAGAGAGATGGGGATCTCGTAGGTATTTATAGCATTTGGGAGAGGAAGAGATTGTCAGGAGTGATCGCTAATTACTGACAGCTGAGTCCGATTGAGCTAGGTTGTTGTCATCCCTCCTGAACTTTTGTTATAAACTCCATTCTCTGTAGAGGAAAAACTACTATCCAACTAGATTTGAAGGTTCTTCCTTAAAACTAAAGCCCTTTATCACAGGCAAGAGCAGGTTCTCCAACCACTTGTGGAGCTTTTAAAGAAACTCATATTAATAAAAAAAGAAACATTCCTGAATCTATTATTAAAGTAATTAAATAAAATATGAGGGACATGTAACAGCAGAGCAATTTGCATTCTTTGATGAAGAGAACATGAATCACAGTTTTAAGCGGGGGATACTATTAAATTAAGAACTGAATAAGTTATTGAATAGCAATGTGTTCCAAAAAATATTAATTCAATTAATCACAATTTGTGTATTACAGCGACAGGATTTTCGTAGACATGATTTCGTCAATGATTTTAAAGCTAAAATAATTATGTTATAGTTGACAGCTTCAGAAAAGACTCTACATTTATGCTTTATAGCATCAACTGCTGTGTGTATTTTCATGGTTTTGGCTGTTTTGTTTTACAGAAAAGAACACTGCCCTTCCTGTCATTTTTTTAAATTATTTTTATTTTATTATAGTATTAAGTATTTGAATTGTAAGTTTGACTTCACACTACCACATCAGCACCAACTATGATATTGTATCATAATTTGATGGTTTGATTGAGGTATATTTCAGGAGTGATGCACTCTCATGTCCAAGTCTGTGACTGAGAGTTTTTTGTTCTAACTCTTTATAATTCCTGTTTAAAACTGATGATAATAGTGCGCTGATGGCTTTTATTTTTGTTTCTGTAATGATGGAAAATGGTTTCCAAGTAGACCGAAATAGAGACATTGTAAATCTGAGATGTTTATATCAGGCTTAAAACTAAGTGGTTTCTCTGAAGCACTTAAAATCATATCATTTCTTTTAAACATATCACTAAATACGAAAATGTATTTCCCACACAAATAAACTGCAGGTTACAAAGGACAGACACCTTTCCATTTATGGTATTGTTTCTAAAAATTAGTCCTTTTAATAATGGACAGTTTCAGTTTAGTACAGTATAATTGCTCTACCTCAAAGCCAAACATCACATCCAATTTTGCTTACGTAGAGATAGTGCTGAGATTACCTTATACTACTATATTTGGTCATGTTTGCTGGACCCTATCTATGCCTATGGCACTAAGATTCCCGAAAGTCAAAAAGAATGATTACTGTGTTTCTGGATGCTTAGATACACTAGACAATATCATGCTGATCAAGGCTCAAAAACAAATTTATTCCATAAGCCTTCAAAGACATTATTTACCAATCATGCTATGTTAAAGAATAAAAAAAAATCCTCACTTGTCTACAAAGACATTGAAAAGGTGCTGGGTCTTATTTTCACTGTGAGATCTTTCCACATCTCACCTTTCCTTTCCCCACTGTGAACATCATGCCGTTGATAATGTTGGAGTAATAATTCATTGCAGTTATATAATATGTTTCATCCCAACTGATAAACCACTTCACATACTGTATACGAGGGCACCCACTTCATCCCTCTCAAATTGCAGCCCCCACTTGGTAGAAAGTATACACCAGCAGCCCCACTATACAGCAGCTCAGATGGAGTGATCTGAAAAGTTGCTTCACCTACAGTAATTGCAGTAAAGGAAGGCAGGTTAGATTGCCTGAGCCTCATTTGGAATTTAGCCAGTATACCAGGGTTATCAGCCCTACTGTTACAAACTATGCCTTGGGATAATCAATTGTCAAGTTGTCAGAACCTCAGTTCAGTGTCAAAGAACATCTCTGGTTTTTGAAAATTGGTCTAGAGTTGATACTGCCACAAAGAGATAATCTATCCCAGTATTGATTATTACAGTACTGTCCAACTCCCCAACTGCGTGGATTTACAGTAAATCCTGCTCAGTCAACGGAAATCACACAGTCTCCTGATCAGTAAAGGCCATTTCAAACTCCAAGTAGACTGTAATGCAACACGTTTTTATTGCATGTGTTATTTACAGATGTAACTGCAAATGACTGATATGAAAGCACTTGACTTTTCTGATTGAAGTAAGTTATTTTACAGCTTCAGTACAATATTACTAAATCTGGGAAGTTTAAGAAATCATCTAATTGTTTTTCATTATGAAAAGCTGTTTCAGAAGAAGAGCTGTAGCACGGATTAAAAATGCACATTTCCTGTCTGTGTTCCTTTGCTGTTTTCCTGTCCTGCTTATAAAGCATTGCATTGTGATTTTATTCAAGATGAATGAATATTTACCATGTGTAAAAGTAAAGTTGTTTGGTGTTATTAGTAATAATAAACAGTGTACTATGTTATTTGTTTGTTAATTCCAGAATTAAACATTGTATTGCTAAAATAATGTTTTAACATGCACTGGCAGCCAGTTCCCCCAGTGGTAAATGACAATATCAAATATTTTGCCCATTTCTTATTTTTCCTTCCTTCATTTTTTTGTGCTTAAAGGATGAACACTGAGATATACTGCCATCATTTTGATTGGTGCCCATTGATGTTACCATTGTTTGATGAGTACATACTCATCATGTGAAATGCTATCCCATTTGTTTAGATGCTAAGTGAAATGGCAATACAATTAATCTGATAGAGTGTCTGATCCTGCATATTAACAGGTACACAAATAAAACTTTTTGACTCTTAGTATGTGCCCCAAAGTGGCCAATTCTAAACTTTTTTTTCCAACAATTAAAAATGAAATTTTTCATTTAATTAAAAATGAAATGTGGCAATTTCAATTCCGTAAATAAATTTACAAAATTCTGCCTCTGTAAGTATCAGGGAAGAAGAGCGTTTTATTTTTCATTGCAGCCCCATCCAATCTGTGCTTGTTTCTTTCTTTGCTCTTATGGAGAGTTGGCTCTAATGGTTGTTTGTACCCTGATTTCACAGTACGGTTAATAACGACTCATGGAACAGCTCAGTCTTGCTGACTATGTCCAAAAGCAGGTCCATGTCAGTGTCCTGTGCTGCCACCACTGCAAATCATCTCAACTCCAAAAGACAGAGCAGACCAGGTGAACCACTATCTCATTCTATTCTGCTAATATTGGGTTGCTGTGTATCAGAGTCCTAGCTGTGCTACTGTATGTTGTTCACTTTTAGAAATGTTGCTGCTGTAAGAGATCCTTTGATATATAAATGCCTATTATTATACTTGAATAGATGTGAGCGTATGAATTGCTTCTGCTAAATGAAGATACTGTATATTGAGAATGTGTGATCTCCTTTCTGATGCTCAGCCCATGTAGTTGCACTGTAGCAATGCTGTTTTCTGACCACGACAGCGACTGTGGATTAAAAGTAGAATCTGCAGAGTAAAAGAAACATGGCAAGGATTTCATGCTGTGGATTTCCATGACTCAGATTTATTTTATATGCTGCCAGATTGAGAGTTTTTCCTCAACTTACCGTGATGCTCAGGTGTTCTGACTTGTAAGTATAGTATTGTTCAGAGTCTACGTTGAGCCCCAGAATCCAGGGGTCCCTAGTTTAAACCTGGGTTGCAGTATGTCATAAGATGACCATAACAGGCATTTCTCAAAATACAGAAAACAATTGGCCAAGCAAAAAGTGGACCGGACATGGCCTTGTGCTGGTCTGGGTTTTCTTGGCTTGTCTGGCACTTGTGAGCTTGTACTATTCTTTCCAGAATTAGCCACATCAGTTCTCCATTCACAGTGATCTCTGTTGTACCGTAGATACTTGTGCCTTGTCTGTGAAAGAGAAGCAGTGTATACAGTCCTCATAACTCAGTGCTAGTAGACAGATCTTAGTGGTTAGCCAATCTCAATTTGACCATTGGTTGTTCTAAACAGAGGGAAGAGGCGGTACAAAATAAACCATATGATGATGCACACAGTTGTTTGTGGAATGGGAAGTCCATATCTTCAGCCCTAACATCCACATTCCTCACAGGTTTCTTTCAGTCAGCAGTAGCTTAATATCTGGAAAGAAGGGCAACATTAAGAAAAAAATAAGCTAATGTAAAATAAAAACTTGAGGACTCCGGGGTTATCATGGGCAAGCGTGCTCACTTGTAACTTCTTGGTTGAGTGTATGCTGGATTCTCTTAAGCCCTGTCCCAGTGCCAACCTGATACCAATCCTATACCTTTTAGGATAAACCTGCAAGGCTATTGCCATGATATCTACAGTAGATACTGTAGGTCCCTTTTCAGGCCATAAAGGCCCATGTGAAATGGGGGGAAAGGCCACCATTTTTCTTTGACTATCCAACGCTGGAGGTGGAGGTGATGTGGTCAGCATCACGCTCCGGCCGACCTATTACCCCCAGAAGGATTAACCGTTATTGTCTTCCGGATGAGACGTAAAATCGAGGTCCTGACTCTCTGTGGTCATTAAAAATCCCAGGGCGTCTCTCGAAAAGAGTAGGACTGTAACCCTGGCATCCTGGCCAAATTTCCCATTGGCCCTTACCAATCATGGCCTCCTAATAATCCCCATCTATGAATTGCCTTCATTACTCTGGTCT